CATCGTCCCAGATTCCCTTCACTTCGTTCAAGTTCTCTGCTCAAACGTCCCCCGTCCACCCAAACTAAAATGAACACTCTCACGCCTTTTATTCTTATTCCCTGCCCTGCTTTATTTTTCTTCAAAGTACTTATTGCCTAACTCATTATAATGTTTATTGTTTATCTACCTGATGAGACTGTAAGCCCCATGAAAAGTAGAATTTCGTCTTGTTCGCCATTTTCTCCGAGTGTCTAGAACTGTGCCTGGAATACAGTCTGCACTTAATATACGTGCTTTGAATGGATTAATAGTCACCGAGCATTTTCACATACATTAAGGAAATAAAACAACTGTCCTTCACATGTTCATGAACATAATCGTTAACGGGCTAGACTGAGAGTTGGAGCTGATGTGTGCTTTTCTTTCTAACCTTACCCAGCAACATTAAAAGATAAACCTGAAAGTTAATGAGGACATTTACCTAACTTGGGATTTAAGCTGTATGTATGTAACATAAAAACGATCTGTTCTGGAGCCTAAGACGTCTCATCAACATCTGGTATTTGGGACCCAATTCTAAACTCAGGTTGTCTGAGAGACTGAAAAACAATTTGCTGACCAACGCCATGACCTTTACTCCACTGGCAAACCTCTCAAGCTTGAGACTGTTCTCCAGAAACAATTCAAATAATCAGAACAAACGTTATTAGAATGGTTAGTAAATCCCCTTAGTAGGTACGTACTATTTTCCACACTCTCTGATAAGACTTTTGTGTACGGTACCTCCTTTAATGCTCTGCTAACAATAGCCTTATGTCTGGGTAACCCGGTCCCCACTTTTAAAAAAGAAAAAAGTAGTGACTGCTGAAGCATAACTGTAAATGACAGTAAAGAAAGAAAACTTTAAAAGTAGGACTCGACATTAAGAAAAGAGCAAGCATGAGTTTTTTAGTGTCAGATCAAAGGAGTTGTTTCTTTTGCGTTTCCCCAATACATCATTGTATCAAAGCGGACCTCAGCTCAAGTTCATGCTTTGATGGCCTTGGCACTTCTAAATAAGGCCATGGTCTTTAAACACAGAAGGCAAGGCAACACTAACTGCAAAACCTTTTTTTAAGTTCTGACACTTAAAAGGTATGTGCCAATTAAATGGATATTAAGCACTTTTTTCTACAATGTCAGATAAATATTGTGTAGTAACACAGAGGTCTACTTCATTACATTTTACACACACACACACACACACACACACACACCATGTGTCAAGAGAAGGGATAACTAACGATTCAGAAAGGTAAAACAAGTCCTTGTGGAAGAGGCGACATCGGAGACAGAGTTCAGAGAAGGTGTAGGAGCTTCTAGGCATCAAGACAGGATGAGAGGAAGAGCTTGCCACACACACAGACCATGGTGGATGGATTCATTACTGCAGACAGTTTACTGAGGTCTACTGTGTGCCAGGCCCTGGGATCCACAGGTGACTGCAACAGTGTGCCCTCAGGAAGCAAAAATCTAGAGAGTGAAAGACATAAAAGCATTAATTATAACACCTAATGGTATTGCAGAACAGTAGTTGAGATGTCATGGACTATGAAGGGAATACAAGCCTGGTGGCAAATTGAGTTTAGGGGCAATCAGAAAAGGTTTCCTGAAGAAGGTGAAATCTTAAGTTAGATTTTAAAGAGAAGGAATAAGGCTGAGCACACAGTATATGAAAAGGGAAGAACAAAAGGTCAAGGGCCCTTAGGGGCTGTTCTAAGGACTCTAGAACTTAACTCACAAAGGAGAAGCTGACAGAGGTTTTAAACCTTGGCTACATCCAGAAGGCAGCTGTAAATAGATCCCAGGTGAGTTTTCTAACTCAGCTAAGGTTATGGGTGTACCATTAAGCTAAGTAACTAAAGGAAAAGAGAAAGTAGATAAGCTCAATGCGATGTGCTTGTGGGTCAGCCCAGTGATGGTGACCACAGGCAGATGGATACACAAGTCTGGACTGAAGATGGAGAACTGGAATTCATCAGCGTCCAGGCAGCAGCTAAGGCCAAAGCACAGGAAGGAACTCTCCCGAGGAGAGACCACAAATCAAGAAAAGTGGTTACCTAGGAAATAAAGCTAACATTTACCCAGCACTTACTATGGCTCATTTAATCCCCACAACCACCTATGCAGTACATAAGTCTTATTATCCCATTTTATAGGTGGTTAAAACATTTTAAGACAATTAAAGAACGATTATAAGACAATTAAAGAACAATAAAAAGCAAGGCCTAGGAGAGATTAGAAGAGAACCGGGAGTAAGAAACATATGAAATCAAGTTAGAGAATTCAAGAGGTAATGTATGGTCAATATCACAGAGAATTTGTAGGACAAAAAAATAAGGGAAAGGAAAAGGAAGGGTGGAACATGGCATATTTCACAATTTGGAGACATTAATAGCTACGATTTACTTCTATAGTTAGCTTTGGGAAGAAGGGCAAAGAAATATACTGGATTGGGTTGCAAAATGAGTTGAAGAAGCGAAAGCACTTATCATAAGACTAGCCCAGCCACAAAGAGAGCAGGCAGCGCCGTCTACTAAGTCGGGGCTGGGTGCCAAGGGAGGCGCATCACATATTTCATTTGATGTTCCTGTTTTAAAAGATGAAAAAGATTCAGAAATGCTATGAAACTCGTTCAAAGTCACAGCCAGTAAGTGGCAGTGGAAACATTTACACCCAATGTGACATAAAGCTGACTAGGTAAGTTTTAAAATCCAACACGCTGATTAAACAATTCTTTCTTAAGAGTCTAAGCTATGCATTGGTTTTGTAATGTTCAGTGTAATAGTATCTAACTTGCCTTAAGAAAGTGTTAAAAGACAAAATCCAACCAAGTCAATCTGAAGATCTAATTGGCTTTTATTAAGTGATTTCATGAATCAGGCAGCATCTCACCTTAGCAAGTAGAAGGGCGCCTCCATAGAAGGTTTTTATAGGCAGAAAGAGGGTGGGACTAAGAAGTTAAAAGAGTAGATTATTTCAGGCAAGGTCACCTTCCCTTAGGGGAAGCCAGGGGGGATCTTATCAGGCAGATTGATTAAAATTATGTATCTGAGAGAGGTTGAAACTGCAATTAGATCAAGCATTAAGTATAGGTTTGGGCTTTCACCACAAACTGTGCCATTTTGGGCCTGTGGTTGTGCCATTTGGGGCCTGTGGTTTTGTGTTTAACAAAAGCAAAACAATAAGAATTGGTTTGAGAAATAAATGGACCAAGTTGAAAGAAGTGTCAACTTTAGCCCACCTATAATAAATTTTTTTTCCCCAAAAAAAACTACAAATCTATAAAATAAATAAATACTGAGTGCCTACTCTCAGTGAACTTTGCTATATCATTCACAGGTTCAGCGAGGGAGAAATTAACAACTGCAAATAAATTTACAATCCAAAACAAAATTAGTCCCTCTTCCTTCTAAAGGGATGCCCTAATACAACCCTACAATATTTACATACCAAAGAATTAGGTCATTGAGTCAATTAGCAAAAATAAACATTCTCAGTTTACAACTGTGGGGCCACTCTACTCATTTATCCTATGTGATAAATTCTAAAAATAAACTTAAAACTTTTCCATTTCCTTCCCAAAGGAAATCAGTACTCTTCTCTAGTTAATATTTCCCATTCGAAAGTCCCTTCTTCTGTCCTCTCATTCGTTCTTTCATTGTGCCAGGCGCTGGGCCAGACTCTTGAGAATTAAGACATAAATTAACATGGACTAGCTCGGCCTTCATGAAATCTACATGCCAATAGAGGAAACAATTAAAACAGAAGGAATTAGAATAACTCCTTCCAATGGATGATTACTGCTGAGGAAAAGAGTTCTAAGAGGGTTTAACTCGGATAGGATGGGCTTCCTGAAGAAGTGACATGTGGGCTGAAGACTGAGGAATGCGTAGGAGTTGCAGGGAGAGACTAGCGCCTAAGAGGTGGAGGAGACCTCTAAAGACCAAGAGATAGTAAAAAACAAACAACGACAACAACAACAAAAAAGGCTTTCCTAAAACAAAAATAAAACCAGTGTGGCTTGAGCCCAGAAAGCCAGGAGAAAAGTGGACCAAAATGAACTGGAGAAAGGAAGAGTGGCTGCAGTACTTTGGTCTTTATCCTACCAGAAGGTGAATCTTTGAGAGTTTTAAGCACATGATCCTTTGAGATACGGACGTTTTCAAATGATTCCCCTTGAATGCATCAGAGAGCCTTCCAAAATCCATCCCCACGCCTACACAACACACAAATAAGTGCTTCATCCATACCGTTCAACTTAAAAAACACTTCTACGTCAAGAAAAAGGCAAGTACTCTGAAAAAAAAAAGTTTAAACAGTTGGCAACCACTTAAATATTAAGACATGACCAATGAATTTAATCTATATATAAGTATGGAGACTAGAGTTCATAGTTGTTCCTCCCTTACAAATAACTTCTAAATATACATGTCATTTAAACTGCATGGCTATTGACACTTCGGAACAACAGAAACTTAACTCCATCCTAATATTTGAAAATAAAACAGGAGCTTGATTAAAGGCTCTGGTGCCCAGGCACGCAGATTTCAACGTCTTGAAGCGCCATCCTTCCCTTCGCACACGTTTTTCCCCAAATTAATTAGAAGCTGACTTCCTGAGTGAGTTTTTGGTTTTGCTTTTTAAGGAATAAAAGTCTTCTAATTCATAACTTTCTTCACTACCTGATGCCACAGGATTTGAGGGACACCAAACCAACCTCCAACCGAGGTTTAAAAGGTTGCCATCCATCCCGGCGCCCGATGGTAACTTTCCCGCCCTCTCCAGCCCCCAAACTCCCCAGGACCCGCAGAGCCTCCTCCTCTCCCGGCTCCGGGCCGCCTCCTCCGTCCCCCAGCCCAGGACAAGGCCAGACCCGCCAGGCCGGAGTCGCAACCGCCACCTCTATCCCCTTCTCTCCGGCTGAGGCGGCTGGACCCTATGGGAAGTGAGGAGGGGATCGGCAGCATGGGTATTACCTGGGGCCCGAGCCCGGCCGCGGGGACCTCGGCAGGGAGGGCACAGCTGGGAAGGCGTCGCCGTGAGGCCGGCAGGAAGGTCAGCTCCCGAAGGCACCGCAGGGGCCCACGGCCGGCAGACGAAGATAAAGCGCCGGACTGCCCGGCCCCTCCGCCCCCAGCCTCGCGG